TTATATTATTAAACCAAATATAAATTACTTCGTTATTATACATAAATTAAATTATAAAAAAATTGAATTAAAAAATTACACAAAAAAATGAGGAATTTCAAATAGTTAATTTGATAATAATATCGATATATTTTTGTCAAATTTTTATGTTATTTTTAAACATATATTTTATTCAAAAATAAAAACATCATCGCTTTCTCAAAATCAAATAAAGCCATATTATAACATCCACTGAGATAAAGAATAAAATAAAATATTAAAATCATGATGTATCTCGCTGCATTGCGCGAGTACGCTTCTAATATATATATATATATATATATATAGAGAGAGAGAGAGAGAGAGAGAGAGAGAGATAATTACATGTTCAAACAAGAACGCTGACACTTTAAGAAAATAAGAAAAAAAAAACCATTAATGTACAAAATCATATATGATTCACATATATATTCAGGTACAAAAGCATACATGATTTACACACATATAGGAAAGTTTATGGAAAATTTCAAAAAATGAAAAACTGAAAAACATTGGTAAGCATTCATCTGGACCATATGCATATGTACATATAAGTAATTGATTTTTTGGTTTTATGTATATGTGCATGTTACGCAATTATGCATAACGGACAAATTACTTGTAAATTATTTGTATGTACATGTGCAACGGTCCAAATGAACAGTTATCAGGGTGTTTCTCAGGTTTTTATTTTTTTTTAGGTTTCTCATTAACGTAACACTATATATATATATATATATGGTTGGTTCACGTGAGACCAATGGTTTTTCGTAAGACCCGTAAAACCAATTTATGAATGTTCATATACAAAATTATACAGGTTTAAAAGTCGTTCGCTTTCATTTTTTTTATGTTAATGTAAAATAATATATGATTTTATATATTAACAAAAAATTCGTATTTTTCTAAATAGTTAACGTTTTCGTTTGAATATTTCTTTAAATAGATAACATAATTCTTGTAAATGGTCTTACATTTTTCTAGTACCATTAAATACGCAAATGCTTCTGTCTCGAGGGCCCTCTTTGCAAAAAGCTTCTAGAAGATGGATTACTTACACAAACAACTCCTCAAGATTTTCTCCATTTTCAAAGAGCGTCCACTATTTTTTGGGTAGAGACTCTAAATTCTAACCAATAAATTAAGAGCTTCAACAAATTGTATCACATCCGTCATTGTTGATTATTGCATAATATTTAATTTCAAACGATCGTTTATCAAAACTTTACGTTAGTAACCGTTTATTGATTCAATTATCTTTCTAGATAAACATAACAAGGATCGAAAATGTTACTTGGAAAAAGGGGAGGCAAGGATCGAGAGTGTTATCCGGTAAATGAGAGTGACGACTCTTACTCGTATTAACCGTTTACCGGTTTTAAGACGCTTATCAAGAATCTACTTTGATGACCGATGATGTTAAAGAATAAGGTAAGTAAAGTGATCTCTCTTACCAGTAAGCACTTACCGGATAAACGTTCTGGTCTAAGATTCATTCTTAATGATTATTGTTATATTTAACAACCTCCAATTATTTTTGTAAATAAATTACAAGCATCTTTTTAATAGTTAATCGGTTGCATCACAACTGAAATAAACAACCTAATAATATTTGATTCTAGCACAACTTTTCATCAAGGTAAAAAAACGTTTTGAAATAGACAGTGAATCAAAAACATAAGTTCCTGATGTTTAAAATAGGAATACATGTTTTGTACGTGATTCTCTAATTTATAAATCTAAAATAACATCATGTATGTAACATCCCATTTTAGAAATTAATCGAAATATATATATATATAATAAAGTCGAGGGTAGAAATGTTCTAAAATGAAACTAAGAGGGGGTGTTACGGTGTAACTTTTAGAAAAACCTTTGGATTTAGGGGTCAAGCTTATAAGTGTCCATTAGATGGCGTGTAGAAAGTGTCTACATGACACTATACTTGGCTAGTATGATTTGAAACAATGCTAGAAATGTAAGAGCACATTTCTAGAGGGTAGATTTTGTCATTTTTCTAAACAATAGGGGTCACATGTGGATGATTTGTGTATATATACCAACGGCTTTCTCCACGAGTTCATCATCCCTTTCCTCTTACAATGCCGAAAAAGAGTGAAATAAAACTTCTAGGAACCACTGCAAGTCCATATGTGAACCGCGTTCAATTCGCCCTCAACCTCAAGTCCATTGAGTATGAGTTCATAGAGGAAAATCTCGTCTGCAAAAGTGAGCTCCTGTTGACATCAAACCCGGTTCATAAGAAAGTTCCAGTCCTTTTTCATGCAAACAAGCCACCCATTTGTGAGTCGCTTATCATAATCGAATACCTTGACGAAATCAAAAGCGATGTCCACCGCATCCTCCCTTCCGACCCTCTAGAGCGAGCTGATAACCGGTTTTGGGCCAACTATATTGATAACAAGGTATGTAAAACGTCAAGCTCTAACTAAACTCCTTTGGAAAATGTTTCCAATCATTTTAATTCTTGATCGTGTTATTTTAATAGTTTCAACATTCATAGTTTTACAAATATGGTATATTTTCATATTACAAATATTGGGTATATTTCAAATGCAACCATGTCTATTTGTACAACCAATGCAACCTCATTAATTGAGATATTTATGGAAATGATTAGAGTTCATTTATTATGATTTTAACATTTATGGAAGATGAGTAGAGCTTATTAATTATGATCAATACTTTATATTAGAAAACAATCAAAACATTTATGAAATCACATATTCATCAAATTAAATGGACGGTTGAGATTGAGTTGTATTGGTTGTACAAATGTAAAGGGTTGCATAATAACTTACTTCTACAAATATTATATTATAAGAAATATAATATTTATAAGACTAGAAGTGTTAGATAAAATGATAAAAGGAGACTAAAGGGATATTTCATTAAGGAGTTGTTTACCAAAAAATTTATTAAGTCATGTATGGATAAATTTGTCTGTCCGGATAAATTTGTCTGTCCGGATAAATTTGTCTGTCTGGATAAATGGATGGTGTTGTTTACTTTTTTTTTATCTGAACCAACAGTCTGAATAACATAAATAACCGATTTACCCCTCAATATTAATTAATTGAACGTCAAAACAAAAAATCATAAAGAGGCCGAAGATGGGGTGTCTCATATGAGAAGGAGGTTGTGCTTTAAATATGGGGTAGGGTTGTCATTTTTGTGGCTGAATGAGGACAACACACAATTTCTATATGTGCGATTAGGCCATGTTTCGTGTGGATAAGCCGTAAGTAAACAACCCAAATGAGCTGTGCGAATAAGCCACATAAACCAATAAGCCTAATTAAATCGCAAGTAAATAGCCCCTAAGTCATATATGGATAAAGTTGCTTGTGTAGATTAATATATTTGTATAGATTGAGATGTTTTTGTTTGAGAAAGTCTTTTAATAGATGGAAGGTGCGTGATTTTTATTGGGATAGACATGTTTAGAAAAAAAAAAACTTGAATTTCTGCATGAAACTCCCCCTAGAGATTTACTGAATAAGTCGTTTTTTATATCATTAAGTCACTATCAAACTGTATAAACTATGAGTCTCATTAAACTTATTAAGTTGCTAAAAAAAACCAACTCTAAACGAATCACTCTTTATGTACTAACAAAACCCCCCTCATTTAATTTCATATTCACATCCATTAATATCAAAACATTTGTTTTTACATTTTAAGGTTATGATTTGAAATTAAAGAGAAGTTCAAATAATATAAAGCAATCAATAATTCAATGCAAGGCCTCATAAATTAGTAGATTCAAAACAATACATATTGCTTGTACTTCTCTTTTTTTTTTGGTTATGTCATGTCAATATCTTTTTTTTTTATTGCTTTATAAACTTTATCTTAAAAGTATTTTTCCAAATGATTTCAATTTCATAAAATTAGTTTAATTGACAGAAAATCTTGAATTTTTGGGGATTCTCCTCAGAAACCATCGGTTCGACTCCTAAAATGCCACTAGGTATTTTCTTAGTTGTCTAGAGTCTCAAGGATCAGTTGAGTTGATCCGGACACCAATGGTCAATATTGTGAGTTGTTTTTATATTGTTTTTAATCAAATTTATATATCAACAACATTCATTGCAAAGATTTTTGAATAAAATTAATGGTATACAAGTTTTATAACTTTGCCATTATTAAAAGACATTTTGAAAATGATATTTTCATTCGCAATTATTACTTAAGTAATTATTATAACTTTTTTATATTGTGGTTCTGGAATTTAAAACAATAAACAGATAAAAAAATCATAGTTTAATTACAAAATATTATTATTGTTATTTATCGAGTAGTAACTATGTTTTATTGATACATGTATTATCATCAGTTTTTTCCGTTGTATGAAGAGTTGAGGATGACAATAGGAAAGGAGGGAAAAGAAGCAATAAAAAAACAGATCATTGAAGGATCAGTATTATTAGAGGAAGTATTTGTGAAGTTTAGCAACGGGAATGATTATTTCGGTGGAGATGATGTAGGATATCTGGATGTTGTTCTTGGATGTTTTATCCCTTGGAGAAAACTTATTGAAAAATATAACGAGTTCACGGCATTTGATGAAGTGAGGACTCCAAGACTTGCTGAATGGACAAAACGTATATGGTCACATGAAGCATTTAAGGATGTGATCCCAGAGAATGGAACGATCGTGAACTTCTATATGATACTTCAAAAGTATAAACCACCAAGAGTTGTTTGAAATAAGTTCCATCTGTTATGTTTTCTATCTACTACTTAATTTCAGTCATTCATATTTCAATTTGATTTGAATTATGAATTTGTTTCTACTGTATGTAAATATCTGCTCTTTTACTGCATGTTTTCATTATCAATGTTTGAACTTTGTGTTCAAGTTCTTAATGAATTTTACTTATTTAAGCTTGTAAATTTTATGCATCTATGTGATTGGGTTATCAAATCGTTTAAGAGCTTTACTTTCTTGATATGATTCTATAAAGGTTGTAAAATAACTGTTATCATCCTATAAAACATAGCTAATTGTCGTAACTCGTCTATGTTGATGGAAACGAAATATGTGATCTAATAATTGTTAAATTATGAAACTCTTGATTAATGATATTATTTAAACGTTATTGGATCAGGTTATCGTATTAAGCTTGAAGTGTTATACAAATAAAAATTGAAATAGTATTCGAAAACATGTAATTTAATCAGTTAATTAATATGTATAATCTAGATGCTTGCAGGTATGTTTCATTTGTTTCAGATATAATATCATCTTTTTCAGATATAATATCATCTTTTATTTTATGTCGTTACTAGAGATAGAATATGAGTAATAAGGTTTTAAAACTATTTTATTTCAGAACACTAGAAGGGTATTCGTGCAATACAGCGAGATACATCTCGATTTTATTGTTTCGTTTTATTCATTTTCTCTATTGATATAATACGGTTTTATGTGTTTTTAGAGAACGATAATATTTTTATTTTTGAATCAAATATAAATTAAAAAAAATCGATATTAGTATTAAATTAAGTATTCAAAAGTTCTAGTTTTCTATGTAATTTCTTCATTTTAATTTTTTATTATAACTTAATTTAGATTTAACAGCAAAGTAACTTATTTTTGTTTAATAATATAATTTTTATAAGAATGATAATTAAATATTATGTTATAACTCAGTTATTATTTTAATTTTTTATATATATACTATATTATAAAATATTTGACAAAAACTCTTAAAAACTATTTTTTATGCATTAAATATTGTTTATTGATACATATTACTTAAAATTTAAGATTACAAGTAAATTGTACATAAGTACAACTTATTAAAGCTCAATATTTGAATTCGTGTAACTAACTGTAAACAAACATAATCAAATATTGGATAAACATCTCATTTTAAATATAAAAAATCTAAAATATAATTAAGATAATCATAGAGTTCTAACAGAATACTTAGTTATTATTATTTTTTTAAATTATATTATTAAACCTAAATTAAATTTCTTTGTTGCTAAACCTAAATTAAATTATAATTAAAAAAATTATTAAGAAAATTACACTAAAACACAAGAACTTTTAAAAGATTAATTTGATACTGATGTCGATATTTTTTTTTTAATATGATATTTTTAGATTTATATTTTATTCAAAAATAAAAACATTATCGTTTTCTCAAAACCACATAAAACCGTATTATATCGACATAAAAAAAAAGAATAAAACGAAACATTGAAATCAATATGTGTCTCGATGCATTGCACGAGTAACCTTCTAGTTTAAAATAAGATGTATATCTTGTATTTGATTATATTTATCTGCAGTTAGTTACATGAATTCAAAAATAGAGTTTTAATAAATTGTACTTACGCACAATGTACTTATAATATTGAATTGTAAGTAATATGCATCAATAAACAGTACTTCATGCATAAAAAATGATTTTTATAAGTTTTTATCAAATATTTTATAATACAGTATAGATATTATTAATTGTTATTTAAAATTAGTAACAATTTATAAATTTTGTATGTCAATTTTATAAAATAAAAATAAAATCTAGAAAGTGTTGATGGATGATAAGTTTTGTTTGTAATGACAGACTTTTGCTATTAGCATGCGTGACCTACAATTAGACACGTCCATGCAAGTAAAAATGTAGGGTCAATGACATCCATATATAACACGTCAAACACATGGTTTCCACAAGTATTTTTGTATTTGGTGAATTAAAGAGTTTATTAATATCATATATTCATTGATGCATATATATTAATAATTCTAGTGAATATATCTATGTATATAGTATATGTGTACTTGCATACATGTACTTGTCTATATGGCAGATATATATTGATGAATATATTAATAAACGGAATATATATTTTGATACTGTACATGCAACAATGAATATATTTTCTCTCGTTCTTAAATTTTTTTGTAGTTCTCACATGAAAATGATCATACACACACACATGTAGAAGTTTAAGCATTTGAGAACTTTACAATTTGTGAGATCTGTAAAATTCATCCTATGTCACTAATTTAAGATGATTGATGAGATAATTAATGCATTAAAAAAATCAATTTATATATATGTATATATATATGTATATATATATATATGTATGTATATATATATATGTATATATATATATGTATATATATAGGGTTGGGTTCACGTGAGACCAAAGGTTTTTCGTGAGACCCGTAAGACCAATTTATGTTCATTGATCAACTTTATAAGCATATGATCTAATGGTCTAAAGTTGCACGGTGGCAAATTTGTAATTATTGAGAAGTCTCGTGGCGTTTGTGAATGTTCAGATCTGACGATTGTAGATCTAATCCAAGGGTTGAGAATTAGTCTTACGGGTCTCACGAAAAACTATTGGTCTCACATGATTCCAAGTCTGTATATATATATATATATATATATATATATATCCTTTTCTCTTTGCTCTAACATAAAGGACTATCTACATCGCAGGCCCTTAAGTTTTCATTATCATAGCAGTGGTGGTCCCTCGAGTAATTGCAAACCGTAATTTGTATAAAATATTAAAGGGAAAAGTCTAAAAAAAACCTAATGTACATTAGTGTTTAGAATGATTAAGTTTTTGGACAATTTTTTGGAACAAATAAGTCATTCGACATTCTAAAACTTATTAAATAACTTCTTGGACATTCCAAAACATGTTAGATACATCCTTATGACCTATACAATTGGTTAATATGATAAAATAATGAAAAAAATCTGGAAAAAAACCAATAAACTTTCATATTTCGAACGATTAAGTTCTTAAACATTTTTTAAACCAAAAAAGTTCTCACATCTATAAAATAAAATAAATAAATAAAAAATACTTACATTTACAAAAGACTATTGATGAAATTTATTTTAATTAAAAATAAAATATTTTCTATCAGTGATTTTTCAAATAAAAAAAAGATCTAAAAAGGATTACTGATTAAATTTATTTTAATTAAAAATAAAATATACTATGTTGGTGATTTTTCAAATTAAAAAAATAGAAAATAATTTGATTAAATTACTGACAGATGAACGATAAAATTTAACTAAATACATAATTAATTAAAATTCGTCGCTAATCCATTGGTGAAATGATATCACCGACAAGATTCAAGCACGATCTTTCACACTTATTAACATGTTACAGTATTAGAGCGTCTGACGGTGGTCAAGTTAGTTATCAATTAAATACTAGAAGCATACTCGCGCAATGCAGCAAGATACATCGTGATTTTAATATTTCATTTTATTCTTTATCTCAGCCGATGTTATAATATGGTTTTATGTGATTTTGAGAAAGCGATGATTTTTCATTTTTAAATAAATATATGTTTGAAAATATCATAAAAATTTGACAAAAATATATCGATATTAGTATCAAATTAACTATTTGAAATTTTTCATTTTTTGTGTAATTTTTTAATTCAATTTTTTTATAATTTAATTTATGTACAATAACGAAGTAATTTATATTTGGTTTAATAATATATTTTTTT